GAGCTGACAGCACCGGGAGCCTGGCAGCCCGTGCTGCCCCTGGCTGCGGCGGCTGTCCCACGGCTGGATGCCCCCCGCGTCTGCTCTGTCATGTGAGGGCTCCTGGCAGGGCAGCCGGGAGAACCCAGGGGCGCTTTGCCAGAGAAGCCGCCTATTTCCTGGCTGCTTTGGTGCCTGGACAACAGGGAGCAGATCCCTTGCCATGGGAGCCCCTCCTGGGCTGGCATCACAGAGACGCTGCCCTGGGAAACAGGATAGAGAAAACGGTTTAGAAAGTAAGGGAAGAATGGAGACTTATGCTTGGGTTTGATCTTCCTTCCAGGCAAGCATCCTTGCCAGGAGGAGGATTATAGCCTTGGATACACTAGGGTCTTTCCAGTCTTTGTGTTTGCAGGATGAAAAACTCTGGCCTTGAAGCCAAGTCTCAAGTTCACTGGGGAGCTCCCACCTGCAGGGTGTCAAGGCAAAGCTACTGGCTCAGCAGGACTTGCCCCCAGTCATGCTTCCACTTGCTGCACCCCCTTATTTTTCTCCTCTACCAGTGGAAACACTGGTTGGATTTACAGCCTCACTGCCCACAGGCTCAAACCCAAACCGAAACGCCTTGCATACATGTGCTGTGGGCTTGCTCAGTGCTGGGGCCAGTGTGGGCACTCCCAGCTATTCCCAGCAGGCACTTGCTCCCGGCCAGCCCTGAGCTGGCTCCTGTTTATAGGTAACGCTGGAAATGTGGAGATGTGGTAGGAGCACCCCAAGCAAAAGCATCATTCTGGCTCCAGCTGGACGTCTTTGCTGGGCTGAGGGATGCACCCCCTGTAGGACAGGCTACTGGGAGGTTTCCTGGTACCCTGCATGATTTTGGCAGTGAGACACCTGGGAGAGAATCATCACAAGCTGTTTGGGAAGCCCAGACACCGAAGTCCTTTGATTGGACCTGGAGGTCCCTGAGGAAATGACAGCTCTGGTTTAGCGGGTGGCTGGCCTGCACCCTCCCAGACATCCACCTGATTTCTGAGCCGAGTCTCCAAGGCTGGGTCCATCCAGGTCCTGGGCCCAGTGAGAGCTGCGCAGTTCGTCCAGCTTCACTGGGAGCAGGTCACAGCCCTATCCTTGGGCTGGGCATCCTGTGCTGCTCCCAGGCAGGATTGGGATTGGGATTCCACCTCCCACAGGCCACAGCATGTGGACCTGTGAGCAAACGCAACCCAGCCTGTGGCTGAGGAGAGATCCTCTGCCCTTGTCCCCTGGTTCACACGCTGCTCGTGGGGCAGACAGGAGCTGTGCTCCTGCTGGGGACACCTTCACAGCCTCTCCCCATCCTGGACGTGGTGCTGGCTGCACAGGGACCATGCTGTTCTCTCCCTGCCTGCTGCTCCCTGCCCTAGGTGTCCCTGCAGAGTAACCACAGCCCCGTTGCCCTCCTGTGCTCCCTCAGGTGCTGGTCGGGACCACGCTGGGGCTCCTGTCAGAGCTGAGGTCAGTGTTGTGCTGTAGCAGCTCCTGAGTGCATTGTGGGACTGTCTGCACATTGCTCATGGCTGGCCCACACTGGTGGTTCATCCTAGTCCCAAGATTATTGAATGTTCCTGGATGCATCTCCCCTGCACTTGCTTTTGGATGAGGAGCTTGCAGATGGGAGCAGCAAACCCTGTTGATAATCTCTCATGTTGGACCCCCGCCTGTTGCCCGTCTCCAGGCTCATTTTGTTCTTCCTGTTATTTCCCAACCACACATGGAGCTGCAGTGCTGCTCAGCAGTGTTCCAGATGTGCCGCCCACCCGTTGCTCCCAGATGTGCTTGTCCATGCTTAATGAAGACACTGAGAAGCCATAAGCCCCAGCACCAGCAAACCCCAACATCTCCAGGCACCATCTTGCAGGCCCAGCCAGTGAATTCTTTTACTCCAGTATCTCTACTAATCATTCCTTCAGCTTAGGCCACCCTCACGCAGGTGGCACCTTGTCAGATGCTTTCGTTGGAAGTGGATTGGAAAAACCCCTCCCCTTTGTCCAGGAAGTGGTCATCCCATCCTGAAAGTGGTCATCCCATCCAGAAAGTGGTTATCCCAACCGGGAAGTGGCTATTCTGTCCGGGAAGTGGTTATCCCGCACTGCTGGCTGGGTAACACACTCCTCACCTTCTCATTTTTGTTCCCCACCTGCCACTTTGCCCTCAGTGAATGTTTCATTCTGCCTGAGTCCCACAGCAAGGGGACAGGCTGGTATGGGAATGCCGCCAAGACCCATTTTCCCTGCGGAGCCTGCACCTCTGCTCGGAGCTGGGGGAGGAAAGCCCTGTATCCCTCATGCTGCTGAGCTGCAGTCAGTGTCCACATCAGCTGCATGGGATGTGGAAACACCAAGAGCCTGCAGACACCTCAGGCTTGCTGGTGGCGCATCCTCATCCAGCTTTACCTGGGACTAAGCTCTCAGTGTTTACCCAGGTGTGAGGTGAGCAAAAGGCACCAGCACAGCTGAGAGCTGGGGCTCCTGATGTGGTTTCCCCTTTGCCTGTGACATCCATGCTCTCTGCTGGGTTCCCTTTACCATGCCCCATCTCACAGCTACACCTGGCCCCTCGCTGCCATACCCCCTTAACTGAGGTACCCCAGGCATGGGATGTGAGCATGAAAATTGGCATTGAACGGTGGGGAACTGACTGTGCCTCACAGCAAACCCCAGCCCTGCATCTGGCTGATTAAATGGCTATTTCAGGTTACTGTGTCTGGTCATGCTGAGGGTCTCTGTCCCTCCTCTATCAAAGTAGGCCCCTAACATTTCACCATCTGCCTCTGTCCCTGGGGACACTCAAGGCAGGATGAACAGATGGAAAGCAGCCCTGCAGAGGAGGACTTGGGATACAGGAAGATGTCAGATTGGACAGCAAAGAGCGTACATGGGCATGAGGATTGTGGGATGCTCTCTGGTGGTGGTGCCACCAGTAAATGGCAGCACCTCCTGTAAATGGGTGACAATGAGAAACCTCCCCTTCCTGGGGCTGACTCTGGCTGGGCTCAGGGCAACTGTGTCCAGATGCTCCCTGCCTGAACACGCTGTCATGGGGATCTCTGGCTCTACACGGGTCTGCATGGCTGTCATTCCCTTTGCACGGCTGGGAGCATTTCCATCCCAGTACACTGCAGCTCTCGATGCCTCCCTGTTTGTGCTGGAGGTTGAGTCTCTTAGGACACCAGCAGTCAGGCAGGGCTCCCTCAGACTGTGGCTCAACCCTGCCACTCCATGGGGCCAGACAAAGGGCAGCGAATACAACCCCATGAAGAAAAGGAGGAAGAGCCCCTTTTGCACTGGGAAGGGGTGTAAACCCTCTGCTCCATGCCAACCTGGGAACAGTGTGGCCAAACCTGTGCCAGACCAAGATCCATACCCACATCTCCACTCAAATCCCAGGAAGGTCCCACCACACCAAGTAGCCACCTGCCAGAAAGGGACTTGCTCCAAAGTCTCCACAAGCAAAATGAGGATGAGGAGCAAGGGACCATTCCCACTCCCACAGGGCTCCTCCAGCCCCATCTCTGCTCGTTACTAGTCAGAAAAGAGAATTTTTGTTCCTTTTCAGGCTCTGAAGACCTCTTCTCAATGCTCATCTGGCCTAAGAGAGAAACAGGAGGCTTGGCAAATATTAAAAAAAAGGGATTAACTGCAATCCAGAGAGATCTTTCTGCTTCTGTGTTAATCCCTGGTGCGGTTGCACCTGTGAGGGTTACAGAAGCATGCCTCAGAAGGACTGGATGGGTGAGGATGGGGAGAACAGCCAGGACTAGGCAGGTATTTCCCCCTGGAAACTTGAGAAGCACCTTAAAACCAGCAATAATGCAGGAAGGCAGAGAAGATGATGCTCTGCTAAGCCTCTGAGACAAGACTGTGGTCTTCTGTGGTAGCAGCAGCAGCAACAAAGAGAAATTTTTTCACATAAATAAAATATTCATGTCTTGGAGTTGATTGAAGTTGATGTCTTGCAGTTTTGTATTCCAGAGGTTAAATGCTTCATGAACTGAAGTGAGGAGATAGGCACACCTGCGAACGTCATGAAGAGGTGATGGAGCGATGGGCACCTGCAGGATAAGGGTCACTCGCTCTGCCCGTATTGAGCCATTTTCTTCTCCAGACTCTGCTGCCAGATGCTGCTTTGGGGGACAAAACTGAAGCTGCTCCCCACAGGATCTCCAGCAGCAGCAGGGCCTCCGTGGGACCATGGGCATAGGTTGAGCCCCTCGAGTGCCTCTGCACCCAGATACCCTGGCAATGGGCAGGAAGCCCTGAAGAACCCCCAGTGCTGGCACAACACACGCTGCGTGGGGGCAGCATGAGCAACAGAAAGGGCCGCTTGCTTCAAAGAGAACTAAGTGAGCCCGGGCTGTGAGGAGCTGAAGTGTGACCCTGCATCATGGCTGGGCTGGGAGCTATGTCCTCCTTCAGCTTCCTCTCCTTGGTGATATCTCCTTGTTTATTATTTTGCTCACTGTTTTATCCCACTGTGTAAGCAAGCTCAAAACGGCCTTCTCAGAGCCAGGGGCCCAACGTTCCTTGGCTCGCTACTCCATGTGGAAATGCATTACATTATTCACTTGTGACCATATTAAAAACAATCTCAATATACGCCTGGGCTCCTCAGAACTGTCACAAACTCCTTGTAATGATTAAAAGTGGAAAGATGCTCAGAGTTGCTAATCATGGTAGAGGAGGTTTGGAGTTAATCATGGTAGGCGAGACTAGAGTTTTTCTGTGGCTTGGGGTGCTCTCACCTCCCACCAAACCCATTGCTGAGCCCCAAGGTGGGGGTGATGTCTGGGGGGGGGAATGATGGGGCTGATCATGTCTGATCTCCCATTGTGGAGAAGATGGGACCGACCCCGGCGACAGGAGGGATGGTGTGGGGATGAACGCTGAGGTGACGGCGATGCCCGAGGGGCCGGGGCTGAGTCCCGAGTGAAGGACCATGCCCAGGGGGGTGGATGGGGCTGATCCCGGGGGACGATGCCCGGGGCGGGGTTGCGGGACGGAGACGGCCCCGGTGTCGGGGCAGCCGCGGGACCCGCAGCCCGGTGACCCGCCGGGGGGGGGCCGCGGCGGCGGTGACTCAGCCGGGAGAGGCGGGCGAGGAGGAGGAGGAGCAGCAGCAGCAGCAGGAGCCGCCGCAGCCACCGAGGAGCCGCTCACCTGCCCCGCCATGGCCCGCAGGGTAGCCGCCGTCCTGCTGCTGCTCGCCCTCGGCTGCCTCCTGGGCATCCTCCTTCTCTGCCTCGGGTCCGGGGACACGCGGGGCCCGCCGGGCTTCAAGGTGAGCAGGGCCGGTACGGAGGGGGCACCGGGCATGGGAGAGCGCCGCTCCCGGGGACTGGGGCAGCCGCAGCGGGCACCCGATGTGCGGATGCGCGGCACGGGAGCGGCGCCGGCAGCCAGGGGGGTCCCCAGAGCTGACGGGGGGGAACCCAAGCTGCGGTCGGGGGTCGCGGGGGCACCCGACTGCACATCCCCAGCACCTCAGACCTGCGCCTGCAGAGAGGACTGGGGGTGGCGTGTCGGGATGGGCCCCAGCCCCGAGCAGCCTTGTCGGCATCTGCGGGAAGGGCACCCCACACACCCAGCATCGCCCCTGGGCTCCGGCTGCATCGCCTGAGCCAGCGCTGCCAGATGAGACATGTGCTTCCCTGTGAAAACGAGCTGCTCCGTTTTCTTTCTCATTCTAAACTCCGATGCTGAAAGAAGCTCCCAAGCAATCTCTTGCTGGCCAAGTCCCCCAGTTGACTCCTTTGCAGCCCTTGTTTTAAAATGGTGGTAATTTGTTTCAGTGACAGACCAAGCTATTCCGTGGGAAAAAGGCTCTTGTCCTTAAAAATGGTTCATCAAAAAAACCCTTTTTCTCATCCCAAGCAATTTGCTTGGAAACTTTCAGAGCCAGCCCAAATGCCAGATGTGTTGCCTTCACTCCGGGTTTGTCAGATGTAATGAGGATTAGGTTAGGAAAATGAGCTGGCTGCTGTTGGTATAACCAGCAGTGATGAACTCTTCCCCTGTGCCACCTTTCATGGCCATCCATTGCCATGTGCTGGGGCCTCTTGGACTGGTTTCAAAATGGACTTTGTCTCTTTGGATGTGGGGGAATTAGATCCGTCCTCAGAGCCATATGTGCAGCACTTGGTTCAGCCTGGGAAGCTTTTTTTCCTACTGGTTCCAATCTGGAGCTTCAGCCAAATGCATTTCTAAATGCATTTCTCCTCCCAGTTCCAATCTGGAATGCATTTAGCCAGATGCATTCCCAGATATTTAATTTTTGTGCTTTGTGTTTTTTCTCTCTCTGAATGGACACATCCTCCAGACCACAGGCAGCCCCAGGCACTCAGATGGGTCCTGGCCCAACTCAGGGACCTGGGGGCTTGAACTGTTCCTGGATGTGTCAAGCACATATGAAGTCCGGCTCAGGTCGGCACCAGTGTCCTGCAGTGCCTGTTCCCATGGGCCTGACACCGGGCAGGCACCAAGAGGTTTGCTTTTGCACAAAGCTCAGGGCTGCTCTGGGGATGCAAATCTTTGTCAGCCTAACTCAGTGCAAAATATGTTGATGTGATTTCGAGAAGGTTGGTCCAGCTGTGGGGCACATCATCCCTGCCCGCCTGGGCAAGGCACGCTCCTTGCTGTCTTGGTGTATGTTAACAGCAGCTGCTGGATGACAGCACTGTTCACTGCTCAGCTATGGCTCCAGTCTTCCCTTTCCAGTTCCTTTTGCTTGGAATATAGCCTTATAATACCCTGAATTAGTTATCCTGCTGCCAGAGGGATTGATTCCAGGAGCACAGTGTTCCCCTTCCCTTGTGGGTCTGCAGTGGGGCTTAGGGCACTGCTGCCTGATGGCTGAGAGCTGGTGCCTTCTATTGGCAACCCTTGTTTTTCCTTCTTTTGGCATATCTTTTCACTGGCCATTACAAAATGCACTGGGCTCTTTTCTTGCCAGCTGTCCTGGGGGAGCTGCAGCTCTGTGGCAGGAAAGAAACCACCGTAGACCTGAGGCCCTGTGGGTCTCACCACCCTCAAGGGAACTGGGATGTTGTGGGCAGGGCTGGGCCCTCTCTGCATTGTGGGGCAGCTCAGAGAGCCATGGGGGGGGGGGGGGGGGCTGGAAGCTCAGGCACACCCACAGCCACAAGACATGGACATGCAGCCAGGCTGCAGCAAGGTGGGCAGCTCCCAGCGTCCAGCTCCTTCCTGCCTGGGGTGTAGGGTGCTTCTGGCAGAGCCATGGACTTATCAGGAATCCAGAGCCCTACCTGGGACCTCGCTGCCCTGTAGCCTTTGGGGACACAACCTCCCCTGGCGTCCCCTCTGCAGGGGCTTTGGGAATGAGCAGCCAAGTCTGGGGCTGGGATGAGCAATGCTGTGGTGGGGCAGAGCCCACAGGCCTTGGGCTGACTCAGGGACACTGTCCTGATGTGGGGCCATGCCAGGTCCACCTGTGTCCCCCAGCCCTGCAGCATCACCAGGGCCTGGTCAGAGGTCCTGTTGTTGGGAAAATCTCACATCCCTGGGCCAGCAGGAGGTGCTGGGGTTGGGGACTGTCCTGCCGCCTGGGGCCAGGGCCATGAACACGTTTGAGGACCTGGTAAGCCCCAGAGTGCTGGCAGTTGAGCGTGTGGGGTGGATGAGAGGGATGGCGAGAGCCAGGCACTGGTGCCAGGGCATGTCAGGGCATCCTTGTGTCCCTCCAGCCCTCATCTCTAGCCCACTCCCTGGCAGGTGCAGGACACCTCTGATGAAGAGCTGAGGGCAGTGCTTACACTGCAGATCACCCATGAGATGGACTTTCAGCCTGATTCTCCATCCTGGGACCTGTCTGTGCCCCCCATGTGGCTGAGGGCCCACAGCTTGGCCACGGCTTGTGCGACACAGCTGCTTGTTCTGCAGCGCCTGAAGCCATGGCTCCAGTGTCTGGGCACAATGGCTGAGGCAGAGGCAGGGGCTGGGAAGGGGGCTGGGGCAGGGACAGGGGCTGCTGTGGGTGACTCTCCCCTGATTCCCATGTGGTTGCTGGAGACGTGTGCACTCTTGGGTCTAGAGTAGGAGATGGGACTTCTCGTTCATCCCTAGGGAACCTCCAGGTCTCCCTCAGCCTCTCCATGCCCCATGTGTGCACTTGCCTTCCTCCCCTGCCCACCACCCCCAGCACTGCTGGGGAGGGTGATGGCCTGGGGTGTAGAGCCCTGTGCCCTGGGAGGATGTACAGGGGGGTGCCATGAGGCCACAGTGGCTCCTTTCATGCTATGGTAACCATGGAGTACACCATGGAGCATCCCATGGAGCACGCCATGGAGCATGCCATGGAGCACACCATGGAGCATGCCATGGAGCACACCATGGAGCATGCCATGGAGCACACCATGGAGCACGCCATGGAGCACACCATGAAGCACGCCATGGAGCACACCATGGAGCATGCCATGGAGCACTCCACGGAGCACACCATGAAGCACGCCATGGAGCATGCCATGGAGCACAACATGGAGCACACCATGGAGCACTCCACAGAGCACACCATGAAGCACGCCATGGAGCATGCCATGGAGCACACCATGGAGCATGCCATGGAGCACTCCACGGAGCACACCATGAAGCACGCCATGGAGCATGCCATGGAGCACACCATGGAGCACGCCATGGAGCACACCATGAAGCACGCCATGGAGCACACCATGGAGCACGCCATGGAGCATGCCATGGAGCACACCATGGAGCATGCCATGGAGCACCCCACGGAGCACCCCATGGAGCATGCCATGGAGCACTCCACGGAGCACACCATGAAGCACGCCATGGAGCATGCCATGGAGCACACCATGGAGCATGCCATGGAGCACTCCACGGAGCACACCATGAAGCACGCCATGGAGCATGCCATGGAGCACACCATGGAGCACGCCATGGAGCACACCATGGAGCATGCCATGGAGCACTCCACGGAGCACACCATGAAGCACGCCATGGAGCACACCACGGAGCACGCCATGGAGCACGCCATGGAGCATGCCATGGAGCACACCATGGAGTACACTATGGAGTACACTATGGAGCACACCATGGAGCATGCCATGGAGCACACCATGGAGTACACTATGGAGCACACTATGGAGCACACCATGGAGCACGCCATGGAGCACCCTGTGGAGCACACCATGGAGTACACTATGGAGCACACTATGGAGCACACCATGGAGCACACCATGGAGCACGCCATGGAGAACCCTGTGGAGCGTGCCATGGAGCTGGGGCCAGGCTAATGGCAGTCAGGGGTCTGGAGGACCATCCCGTGCCGAGGCCTGGGGCTGCTGCTCCCCACTCGGCAGCGATGGGGTCTGCCTGTGCAGAGGGTCTGAGAGCAGAGACCCCCACCCTGACCCACAGGTGCTGCTGCGAAAGGCACTGGGATGTGCTGCATGGGTCAGCTGGTGCTGATGCCAGCTCCAGCGCTGTCACTGTCACCCCAATACAACCGGGGAGGGCAGATACAGCCCCATGTGCTCGGCTGCAGGGGCTGAGCAGGCAGCACGGCTGCCCCAAGCACACACACCCACACACATGTCTGCACAGCACACACCACCTATGTGCATGTACACATAGGCACAGGCACACTCGTGCATGCAGACACGTCAGCATGCCTGCATGCTTGTGCAGCTCACCCATGCACCCTGCACACACACCTCCACACTGAAATTTGCACACACGTGTATAACATATGATCACAGAATCCCAGACTGGTTTGGGTTGAAGGGACCTTAAAGCTCCTCCAGCTCCAACCCCTGCCATGGCAGGGACCCCTTCCACTAGAGCAGCTTGCTCCAAGCCCCTGTGTCCAACCTGGCCTTGAACACTGCCAGGGATGGGGCAGCCACAGCTTCTCTGGGCACCCTGTGCCAGCGCCTCAGCACCCTAATGGTGCTGAGCCCTGCAAACCTCACAAGTGCATGACATGAGACATGCACATGCCCTATGTCCATGCACACACACATCTCCACACAGGTGTCTACAGGCATGCACACCCCACGCACACATCCATACATCCATGCACATCCATGCACATACATATCCCCAGCGCTGCTCCTCCTGGGCTGTCCCTGTTCCTGGTGTGTGGCACTGTATTCCAGGCACTGCAGGTCATCCTCACTGCCTCCTGCTCCAGTGTTTCTTAACCCCTGCAACCCTGTATGCATCCCCATCTCCAGTTTTGAGTTTTGTCCCCCTCCAAAGCCTGCAGGTCCTGTCCTCCCCCATCATCTTGGGATTAGACACAGCTCCCTGGATCCTGGCCATGCTCAGCCTCATGTCTGGGGCACCTGTCAATGCTTTCCCTTTGGGGACAGTGTTGTTGTCCTGCTGATGCTCACGTCACTCCAGGTGATGTCCGGGGTGGTGCTGTGCCCATGAGGACACTGAAGACATCTGCATGGTGGCTGCAGGGTTTGTGGGCACACGTGTGGCAGAGGTGGGTGGTGGGGTCTGCTGGGGCTGGACCCTTCCTGGGGATGCCAGCACCCACTTGTGAGCAGTGGGACACTAAAGGGGACATGTGAGGAGGATCATGGGGTGGGAGCTAGTGGGGACATGTGAGTGGGTGTCCCTGGGACAGGCAGCTTCACTGGAGCAGCCTCAGTGTCCTCTAGTACTTGTGCTTGGTGGGTGACGCCCATCTGGGGGTGCAGGGGGGTGCTGTGGTGAGGAGGGCCTGGGGTCACACTCAGGGGGTGCCTGGCCCATGGTCCATGTCCCGCTGGGCAGAGGAGGGGGCTGAGACCCCCCAGAGGCTGCTCAGAGCAACTGACCCCAGCACCAGGCCCAGAAATGGCCCAATCTGGGGGCCCTGCTCCGCTCCCCAGTGCTGTGCTTCAGAGAAGCAGCCGGGGGGGGGGGGGGGGGGGGGCAGCTGTAGACCCCCCTTCCTCCTCTCTGCAGGGTTCAGTCACCAGTAGCTGCTCCCCACACAGCAGTCTGGATTCTCTGCTGGCTAGTGCCTTTGGTCCCAGGATGTGTGGGAAGCCTCTGATGGTTAATAGGGGCTGGAGGAGGCTGCAGGGGTTTCACCCATTGGAAATGGTTCCCTGGGGAAGCTGGGGGTGCTGCTGGTGTGGGGCCTTGGCTTCACACAGGAATGGGAGTTGCCTGTAAGCAGGGACCGCAGGCCTCTGCCCTGACAATTTATTTCTGCTGGCCAAAACCCAAACCTGCAGCCACCTAGGCTCTGTGGGAACATGGATGGGGACAGGGACGGGACCAGAAGCACCCACCAGGCAGGGCCAAGGTGGATCCCAGAGTCTGGGTGAGGCAGGCAGCAGGCAGAGCCTTTGTACAAGCCAGGTCTAAGCCTGAAGTGGTTTCACCCCAGAGCTGCTCAGCTGGATCCCACCTCACCCCCTCCTCCCAGGGCAGCAACCCTGAGCACAGGGGGTGCAGGCGGCACAGGGCAGCCCCTCCCTGGGAGCAGGAACCACGGCTTGGCAGGAGGGAGCTGGTTATTTATAGCCAGAGAATGGCCGAGCCATACAAGGGCAGGAGGGACGAGGTGCCGGGCTGACCATCTTTGGAGAGCTGCATCCCAAGGGGACACTCCCAGGTGTCAGGGACCTGCCCGCACAGCTCAGCATGACTGCCCACGACTGCCCACGACTGCCCACGACTGCCCACGACTGCCCATGACTGCCCACGACTGCCCACGACTGCCCACGACTGCCCACGACTGCCCATGGATGGCCATGGGTGCCAGTGGATGTCTCTGGCAGCCCATGGATGACTGTGGATGCCCATGAATGCCCATGGATGCTCATGGATCCCTGTGGGCTGTCCATGGATGTCTGTGTTAGCCATGGGTGTCTGCGGGTGCCCGTGAATGTCTATGGGCATATGTGGGTGCCCATGGATGCCTGTGGCTGCCCGCTGGCCAGGAGTGATGCTGTGGGGTGTTGGGAGCAGACAGCAGGTGCTCAAGAGGGTGAGGGGGTTCCCATGCCCTGAAAGTCAACGTCCCAGTCCTGTGCCAAGTAGCATCCCAAGATGTCCAGTATCCCTGGCTGGGAAGAGCGCCTGTTCCCAGCCCCATCCTGGTAGGGCCCATGCCTGGTGAGGGCAAGGCCATGCCTGCACTGGGCTGAGCAGTGCTTGCGTTTGCCAGGCAATGCTCCTGAAGATGCTGGCCAGGGCACGGGCTGTGGTGGGACATCGAGCCCCGGTGCCTGCTCCCGGGATGATCTGGAGCACCGCGGGGTGCTGCCTCCAGGCCTGACCCACTGCTTCCCCCTGCAGTATGGCATCGTGCTGGACGCCGGGTCCTCCCACACGGCCATGTTCGTCTACAAGTGGCCTGCAGACAAGGAGAACGACACCGGGGTGGTCAGCGAGCACAGCATGTGCGACGTGGAGGGTAAGGGCTGTGCTGATCCCGGGGCCAGGGGCTGGTGGCAGGCTGTGTCCCATCCCCAGCAGGCAGGGCCCCACGATGCGGCCAATGCTCTGCCATGCCCAGCTGCCTCCCCGTGCATCCACCAGCACAGGGAGGTGCCTTAGGAGTCCAGCCCTGTTCCCCAGACCTCTGCCGTCTCCCCCAAGGCTTGCAGTGCACGCCAGTGGCATACACTGAACTGCCAGGAAACATTTCAGCTCCCTGCCTAGCCCAGTGAGGAGCGAAGGATGGTTTTCCACTCTCCATTTAAGCAACCTTTCCCAGGCTGTCTGCCCCGGGGATGCAGCATGGGCAGGGAGATGCACTACTGGACTCTGGATGGCTCCATACCCACAGAAACCTGGAGCACCTGCCTCTGAAGCAGGCTGTGCCTGGGAGGGCCTCAGCCTGGGAGAGGCAAAGCTGCCCATGGAGCATTTTCCCACTGCCCGCAGGGAGCAATGTTGTTTGTTCTCCACAGGTCCCGGCATCTCCAGCTACAGCTCCAGGCCTCCAGCTGCCGGGACAAGCTTGGTGCAATGCCTGAACCAGGCTCTGAGAGATGTGCCCAAGGAGAAGCACGTGGGCACCCCGCTCTACCTGGGTGCCACAGCCGGCATGCGCCTGCTCCAGTGAGTGCCCTGTGCACATCAGCCTTAAACACTGCCCAGGGGCTCTTCCATGACACCCTGCACCTTCTCACCCAGGGGTGGGAGATGGTGAAGAACAGTTCCGAGGGAACCCCTTTGCTAGACAAAGCTCCTCACGCTCCCAGCTGCCCAGCTGTGTGTCCCTCACAGAGATCTTCCTGCCTCTCAGAGCAGGAGATGCTCTGCAGTGCTCAGCTCAGCCAGCCCCCCTGACTGAAAAGGGCTGTAGTGGGACCAACACTGGGATAACCAATCCAGTCTTTGCAGCTAGCTGGGAGGGAAGGCCCCCTGCACCCTTTGCAGCCTCACGGGATGCAGTGAGAATAACTACTCCCCAAAAAACATGGAGAGGAGGGAGTTGTGCCCCCCTTGCCCAGCCACAGGATCTGGCTCGACAGGAGGGAGGACACCCCATCCCTGTCCCTGCCTCCTCCAGCAGAAAGAAGGGGAATTAGCTGGGGCTTTTGAGGACATCCCCATGGGTACCTGGGTGAGGACCCACCTCCCTCTTGCCCCAGTGCCATGGTGAGGCTGGGACCCAAGGGCTGTGTGGGCAGTGGGGTGTGATCGCAGCACCCAGCCCAGCCCTCCACTCTGCCTGCTCCGCAGCATCTCAAGCCAGCAGGCCTCGGACGCCGTCCTCGGTGCTGTGGCGACCACACTGAAGTCGTACCCCTTTGATTTCCGGGGCTCAAAGATCTTGTCTGGGGAGGAAGAAGGGGTCTTCGGCTGGGTCACCGCAAACTACCTCCTGGAGAACTTCATCAAGGTGGGCAGCGAATCATGGCACCCAGCAGTGGTGGCTGCACTGGCTGGGCAGTCCTGTAGCTCATCACATCCTTATGCCCACTCTTGTATTTCTTGCTCAGCGTGGATGGCTTGGAGAATGGATCCAGCCCCAGAAGAAGACCCTGGGGGCGATGGACTTTGGGGGCGCTTCCACACAGATCACCTTTGAAACCAGGGACACCATTGAAGACCCCAGAAACGAGGTGATGCTGAAGCTGTACGGCCAGACGTACAAAGTGTACACTCACAGTTTCCTCTGCTATGGAAGGGACCAGGTCCTCAAGAGGCTGCTCTCAAAGCTCCTCCAGGTACCAGCATATGCTCAGTCAGGATGCCGTCTGTCATCCACATTGTGCCCTCACCCTGGTGTTTATACAAGGGTGGCCCCTAGCCCTGGGTCTAGGACAGCCCCACAGGGCCGGCTGCACCTCCTTCCCACCCATCTCTAGGTTTTTGCCCACAACCCTCTCCCATGGTCCCAGGGCTTCCTCCCACCTTCTCCATAAGGTGTTGCACCCCTCGGCCAGAGCCAAGACATCCTAAGTCATCTCGAGATGCTTGTGGCAACTGCCAGTTCTGCATCCTGCTGCCCAGTCCCCTCTGCGTCTCCCGGTAGGGAACGGAGGCAGCAGTGCCGGAGCTGTCAGGGCTCATCTCACATATGTTGCTTCTCCGGTAGGCTGAGAGATACCAAGCCACTGTTTCACATCCCTGCTGGCCCACGGGCTACCACAAGAGCCTATCGCTGAGCAGTGTCTATGACAGCCCCTGCACAGAGAAGGAGAAGCCAAGCCTTGCCCTTGACACCACCATCACTGTGGTCGGCACTGGGAATGGGAGCCTCTGTGCTCTGCACGTCAACAAGCTCTTCGACTTCACCTCCTGCTCCTTCTCCCGCTGTTCCTTTGATGGCATTTTCCAGCCAGAGGTTTCAGGAAACTTCATTGTAAGTCCTGGCATGGAATGGGATTGTGGGCCAGGTCTCCCCAGCCTCTCAGCATCATGCAGCAGCAAACCCAAACCCCCAGCCCTGCAAGGGCCGTTGCTGGTGCCTACCACACCACAGTGGCTGTTGGTGGCAAGAAGGTTTGCTCCCAGCCTGTCCCCCAGTTGTCTCCCTTCCTCCATCAGGCCTTCTCTGCCTTCTTCTACACGGTGGACTTCATCCAGACAGTGATGGGGAGGCCTGTGCGCTTGCCCAGTGACCTGAAGGACGCTGCTGAGATGATCTGTGCCACCAACTGGAGCGAGGTGGGCTCCCTTGGCATGGTGGGGTGGAGAGGGCTGCTTCATGTGGGGCATCACCCAGGAACTGAGAGCAGCCCTTCAAGGGAGCTGGGTGTCTTGGCACCCATGGAATAGGGGGATAGGTGATAGGATCAGGAGTGCCTCAGGTGGGTATGTGCAGTGCCTTGGCCAGACAGGTGCTTTAGGCCACAGAAACAAAGCCTGAACCCTCCTGGCTTGACCCTTTTTCTTTCTCCCTCCATGCATCCCATCCAGCTGCTCCAGAAAGCCCCCAAGCTGGAGAAAAGGCTGCCAGATTACTGCGCCGTCACCATGTTTGTTTATTTGCTCACCACCAAAGGCTACAACTTCAACAACCATTCCTTCCCCAACATCGCCTTCCAGAAAAAGGTGGGTAATGCCAGAGGACATCCCCATCCCGTGGTATCTGCTTGGAGTCAGGCCAGAAAGTTCTGCAGGAGAGCCCCACACCAAGAAAGAGCTAAGCAGTGTGAGGGAAGATCTCGGGGAGAGGGACAGGATGGGACTCTCAGGGTCTCGGTGAATCTTTTGGGAGGTGAAAGAAACTGAGCTAAGCTGACCGGGCATGGAGTAAGGTCCTCCAGTCCCTCCCTGGCCCTCTAGACAAAAGCCACTGCAAACAACTCTTTGCTCAGGCTTGCTGGGAAGTTATCTCAGAGCAGAATCCTACCTCTGATGCCTTTCTGAGCCACAGGATGGGCAGTGAAGTCAGGACCAGCCTGAGCAGACCAGATCCTGTTCCCATTGGATAAGCCCAGGATAGTCATTGCTTCATCCTTGGGCTGGCTGGACCTATGGGCGAGCGAGGGCTCAGGGTGCTGAATTCCCCCCCCACACACACCCATCTCCTCCATTGGGCTGACACTGAGGTGGTCCTTGGAAGGTCTCTTGAGGCTTGTGGAGATGGGTTGAGTGGGGTGGTGACCACACCATGCTCTTCCAACAGGCAGGAGATACCTCCATCGGCTGGGCCCTGGGCTACATGCTGAACCTCACCAACATGATCCCAGCAGAGAAGCCCTCTTCCCACAAAAGCATGCTGTACAACTACTGGGTCATCCTCATCCTGCTCTTTGTGGTCACCACCCTGACATCTCTGGTGACCGCTGTCTGCCTGCTCCGGCGCAGCAAGTCTGGCACAATCTAATGGCCTTGTCAGGGAGCCTTGTCTGCAGGGCCCTGCACCGTCCTTCCTGCTGGAGTCTCCATGGCCTGAACACTTGGAATGCAGCAAGTGCTCAGAGATGTCATCTTCCCATGCCTGATGTTGCCTGTCCCAGAAGGAAAGCTGCCCCTTCATGCCCTCCCCTTGCTTTCAAGCTGCAGAAAGGGAGGGACAGAAAAGGACTGCTGGCCTGGCAGGACAACAGCTTAAGGGCTTCCCAGTGCTACTCAGGGACGGACCCCAGAGCAGACTCGGGATTTGGACATTCAGACCTGGGGCATCTTTCTGCCACCAGACCTGGGCTGAACTGGGTCAGCAAGTCACAATAGTAGGATTTATTTTCATGTACATGGCATGGGTGGGGAACATTTACACTAGTCCTTATAGCTGACCTCTCTAGCCTGTCCCTGAAGCACAAACCCTGCCTCCTGGGAGCTCTGGGCATCAGCCAGAGCCCATGCTGTCTTTCTGGATGACACACAAATCCCACTGACCTTTCTGAGGGTCAGATCTTCGCCTAGACTTTCACTGGTCTCAGCACATGGGCTTTGGACAGCGGCTTAGCAACAACCAGACATGGGGAGCAGGCAGCTTCCCAGGTCCCACTTCAGTAACTTCATGGTGCCTTCCCCATTCCTGTGGTTCCTAACCCAGATTCGCCTCTGGCCATAGCCAGAGCCTCCTCCATTCCCAGGCTGACAGGCTCACTGTGGGAGCGGGGCTTTGCTCTGCTTTAGGATTTGATCCCTGCAGAACCCCTCCCCAGGCAGCTGGGAGGACGCGCCTTTATTTCCAATTGAGCAAGAACAGGGACATGCAAACAGGCAGGTCTGGGTTTGTCTGGTTGGGTTTTTTTTTATAATCAGAAATAAATCTTTGTAACCACTCCTATGGCTCCGTGGCTCATGATCAGCAACAGGCCGGTCAAGCCTGGCCGTCCCACAGGGGAAGAGCCACTTACGGGGTCTACACGGACACAGCCACAAGTCAGGCTCTGCCTGGAGGTCTCATTCCTTTGCAGCCTGCCCAGTGCTGAGACACCACCATGGCTTCATATGCTTTACCAGCCTGAAGACAGACTGAGGTGGGCTTGAAACCTCACTCCAGACTTGGGACCAAGAGGAGGTGGAAGAGTTTTAATCAGCCTAGAAGGTCCAAAGACATGAGCAGGCAGCACTCAAGCTGACTGTCCTATGCACTCACTACTGTGCTCACTCCACACAAGGAGAACACACAGGGAACCTCTGCTCCCAGAGACTGGTTCTGGTACCCAGGCAGAGCAGCAGAGCAGCCCGCAATTCTGTTCATGTAGTTGTTGGCAGCTCAGAGCCACCACGTATCCAGCTGCCAGCACAGGCCCAGTCCCGACTTGTCAACCCCATCCGGAGCGATCCTCCAGCCCTCTGTGTCCCTCCACACACCCCGGGAGAGGAGCGGCTTCAACAGAGCTACGGTTTCCTGGCACGACCTCTGCTCCAGGGCTCTGCTCCATCAACACCTTTCCCTGCTCCCGCTGCACTGTGGCTCAGCACACCCGCCCCCTGCAGCCACTTTGCTTTTCGCTCTTCTGGCTGCTCCCCATCTCTGCACAGAGCAAATGTGATTCCAGCTCAGATGTTCTGAGCGCTAAAGCCAAGGTCGCCCCCCCGGGCCCCTCATCTCCCCAGCACAGGGGCTCCCTCCCGTGGCGAGGCCCCGGAACCACCACCAGCCTCCGTCCACAAGCGCTTTCAGCTCTCGACTTTTATTGCATCCCGCACACGTGATGTTCAGAGGCCGCCGGGGAGGCAGGCTCTACCCCGTGGTGCCTCTACCACGCTCTCACTGCACGATCAACTCATCTGAGGTGCGGGAAAGCGCCACAGACCCACCAGGCTCGCAGGCAGCACAGGCACAGCAGGCAGGGAGGGCAAGAAGGGCTGAAGCAGCACACAGGCATGGTGCTCTGGGCTCTACCAGCTACTCCACAACGTCCCCATACTTGTTCTTCCTCACCAGGGGTGCTGCACTCCCTCTGTCCTCTGGACTAGGCAGATCTTCTGCAATAGAAAGAACAAGCTCCCATCCTTCAGCTGCAGAGTGCCACTGGGCACATGGGGATTTTGGCAATGACAGTCACCAGCTTAATTATGAGGCAGGAACAGCAGGGAAGAACCAGGCATGACAAGCCCAGGGAAGGCAGCAGGGAGGGATGTGAACATACCTGCAGGCTGAGACACTCTACCAGCCATGGCGAGCTCTTGTGGGAACTTGCCTGTCTCCAGGTAAATCCAGAAGTCAGAGCATTTCTGTGTCTCAGCTCTGGTTACCACATAGCTGGCGAGGGACCCTGCAGCTGAAGAGACCAAGGTGCTCCTGAGAAAGCTAACAGCAAGGGCATCTGCTAAGAGCAGTGGTGAGAATTGAGCTTGCTCAGCCTGGGGAAGAGAAGGCTCCTGAAGGGGAGACCTGAGAGCAGCTCCAGTGCCTAAAGGGGCTGCAGGAAAGCTGGAGAGGGGCTTGGGACAAGGGCCTGTAGGGACAGGCCAAGGGGAATGGCTTTAACCTGCCAGAGGGGAGACTGAGATGAGCTCTTAGGCAGAAGCTCTTCCCTGTGAGGGTGCTGAGGCGCTGGCACAGGGTGCCCAGAGAAGCTGTGGCTGCCCCATCCCTGGCAGTGCTCAAGGCCAGGTTGGACACAGGGGCTTGGAGCAAGCTGCTCTAGTGGAAGGTGTCCCTGCCCGTGGCAGGGGTTGGAGCTGGAGGAGCTTTAACGTCCTTTCCAAACCAAGCTATTCCATAATCCTATGAAAGCACCTACTGGCATGCACTTACTGGTGCAGCTGCCTGTGGGCCATCCCTGATCCCACAGGGCTCCATGGAGGAGGGATTAGCCAGGGGAGAGAACCCCCCACGCTATGGACAAGCAGCTCCTCTGCCTGCAACACGGCACCGTCCCCGCTGCCACCCGCCCCCGGGGCAGGACACTCACCGCCGGCCAGCAGCAAGCTCCACTGGAGGCTGTACGGCACCTTCCTGGTCACCAGCTTCTGCACCGCGAACACGGCCCCGCTGCCTGCCGAAACCCAGGGCTGGGGCGCTCTTACCGGCCACGGCCCCGCCCGGGCCGCTGCCCCCCGCCGCTGCCCGCAGCTCCTGCGGGAGCTGGGCCCTTACCTGCCAGGAAGGTGCCGATGCCCTTCAGGAAGGCGTGGGACTGGCAGGCCGCGTACTGCTGCAGCGCCTGCGGGGACACGCTCAGCGCGGGGCGCGGACACACGCTCCCCCCTTTCCCCGGCTCCCTCAGCCCCGGCTCCCACTCCCCTCCCCGCCGGCCCCGCAGCGCACCGGGTGCTTGGCCGCCACCTCATCCTCCACCCGCCGCACCCCCAGCGTCACCATGGCCGGGCTGGCGGCTGCGCGGCAGCGAGGGCCCGCACGGGCTCGCCCGCCTCTTCCGGCGAGACAGCCATGGCGGAGCCGGCGGGGCCCTTCCACCGGTTGCAGGCCGGGTCGTGCCGGTACCTGTGCTACTGCGGGCCCGGCGGCAGCGTCTAGTGAGTGCGGGAGCGGGGCCGGGGCCGCGCGGAGGCTGGGGAGCCCCGGCGCAACCTGAGCCGCTCTCTCCGCAGCGTGACCGATGCGCTGGAGGTGTGGGCTGGGGAGCTCGGCGCCCCCCCGTCGCTGGGCTGCGTACGTACCGGGGCTGGGGCCGGGGCCGGGGCCGGGAGCCGGGGCTGGGAGCCGGGCTGGGGCTGGGACCGGGAGCCGGGGCCGGGAGCCGGGGCCGGGGCCGGGAGCCGGGGCTGGGGCCGGGGCCGGGGCCGGGAGCCGGGGCCGGGAGCCGGGGCCGGGGCCGGGGCCGGGAGCCGGGACCGGGGCCGGGGCCGGGGCCTGGCCAGGGCCAAGCGGTTTCGGGACCTGCCCTCCTCCCGTGCAGCGGTGCCAGCCGGAGGAGCACTGCGCGAAGCTCAGGTGCGTGCGGCAGAGCGGGGGGACCGGCCCCGGCTCCGGGCCCCGCTGACCCCGGATCGCCCGGGCAGGGAGGCCCTGGGGCGCGGCGCGGCCTCGTTGAGCCCGGGGGAGGCCCGGGGCACGCTACGGCTGCAGGGGGACGCTCCGTGCTCGGCCCTGGATCTCCGGCCGCTGCCCGCCGGGGAGGCGAGGAGCCAGCTGCGGGCGCTGCTGTTCGGCATGGCGGGGCGCATCGAGGGCCTGGAGAGACGCCTCAGCGGTACGTGCGGGCCGACGGAATCGGGGTGAAGGCGCGACGGGGGTGGGCAGCGCCCTGCAGCCTTCAGAGCATCATCCGCCCACCCAGAGCTGCCCCGAGGGATCCAGATGAGCTCTGGGCCTCTCTGGCCTCACCCCAGGTGGTTTCTCCTCCCTGGTCCCACATGGACTGACCAGGAGGCAGTAGAGGTGATGCTGCTGCCTTCTTCCTCGTTGGCTGCCTAGTTCCCAAAGCTGGCCAGGATTTGCATTTCATCACCTCGGGTGGAAGGGCTCCTGTGTGGGACCAGTGTTGTGTCCCTGTGCGGAAACACAACCTTGTTCCCGTGGCCCCATCATCAGGAAGGGGGGATTCACCTTACAGAGGTCTCTGTTCTAGGGGCCTAGGGGGATCTTGGGGCTTTGGCAGCCTGGGTGAGAGTTCTGGGAGGAGAATATTTGGCTGTAGAGGACATGGAACTTGCAGGGAAGGCCTGGGGTGCTGCTTGCTGCATTAGTGTGTATGGTCACAGGCTCTGGCTCTGGTTCTTTCCTCAACAGTGGTGGAGACACTGGCATCTTCCTGCAGCCCTAAGAAGAATACAGCCCAGAACCAGCAGCAGTTCCTGCCAGGTAAGCAGTTGCCAGGGGGCACCTCCCCTGGTCCTGCTGTTTGTCTTCTCTTCCCTAGGAGGCTGTTGTTTCTGTGTCCATGTGCTCTCCAGGACACTTTGAGCCCCCTTGACTGTGGCTTGTTCTGGCACAGAAGAGGCCAGGGGTCAGCATGGTGTCTTGTGGGTGTCTGGGATGTGCTGTGCTCAGGTCAGGTGCCAGGCATCATGAGGCAGGTTGCGTGGCAGCCTCCAGGAGGAGGTCAGGCTTCACTGCTCCTCCAGGCTGGAGGCTGGGGCAGGTCCATGTCTCCCTGCTCCTTTGGGAGAGGAGGCCAGGCTGGGCCCTTCCTTGCTCACCGTGGAGGCTGGGCCTGCCAGGCTGGGCTGCTGGGCACGCACCCTGGGCATAGAGGGATTTGCAGGGCTGCCAGAGCAACTGGCTGACCCTTTGCAATCCGTCCTGCCTGTCCCTCACCGAGGCAGACCCCAAGCCTTGGAAGAACAGGGGTGCTGGCTCTGATTTGCCAGCCAGGAGGAAGATCCCAGGGGAGTCTCTCATTAATCCTGGCTTTAAAAGGTGAGTGCTGGGGCCAAGTGCTAAGGATGGGCTGTGTAGAGGTCCCATGGACTCTGCTCTGTAACTGCATGGGAGCAGGGGGTGTGATGCTCCCTCCATCTCCTTCTAGCAAGAAGGCACCGTCTGGAGTAGACTTTGAGGACTCCTGACCTGTGCTGCCCTACCAGAGCCTGGCCAACTGCGGCTCTGGCAGGTGAAGGTTTCAGTTGCACCTGGGAAGACAGATGGACCAGCAGGACCCAGAGGGCTGGCTTTTTTCCCCCGCAGGTCTTCCCTGCTGGCAGGGGCCACCTCCCCACCTCACGCCATGAATTTGTGGGGTTTTTAACGAATTTTTATATAGCCATATAACTAAAAGATTGCCTGTGCTTAACTTATTGCCAGTAAAGATGTTTAGCCAGCTGGTCTCTGGGGACCAGGACAACATGGGTGGTCCATTCTGCCTTTCCTTTGGTTGGGAATCCTGTGGCCAATTTCAACTGACCTTGGAGGGTCAGGGGCTCAGAGCTCACCTTCCTGACAGCTGTGTGCCAGTGGGCTGGTGGGTGAGTGGTTGGAGCTTTCCCAGGAGAGCTGGGAGAATGGGTCCAGGTCCCGCTATGCACTGGGAATCGGGTGTCAAGTCCTGTGAGGCATGAGAGCTGCTGAGGCTGGTCACTCCTGACACACTTGTCTCACTTGCAAAGCCTTTATTGATTTCCAGAAGCTCTGATACATGGCTTGGACTTGCCCTGTCTCACCCCCATCCCTCTCCCAAATCTGCTCCTGAGAGCTTCCTAATTAAAGGTTCAAGGGGCGCAGTGCCCTCTGCTCCCCTTGCCCAGGGAATAGGGCCCTGCCGTCTCCTCCACCCATGCTGTGTTCCCAGGGCTGTGCCATGGCTGTGCTGGTTCCCCTCACTGGTGCAGCTGCTTGGGAACATCATGCTGCAGGTCACTGACTGGCAGGTGGCATTCTGTACCTCCAAGGGAGGCTGCAGGCATGCCCACTGCCCTCTCTGACCCACAGCCCTCTGCTCTGGGCAGCTTTTCCTCCCCAGCTGCTGGCCTTGTCCTCAGCACTGCCCAGCTTTGGTACAGATGGTGCCAGTGGCTGTGGCCCCCTTGTACCCATTACAATGCTTGAGGAACCGCAGGGCAGGTTGAGGGGGTGCTGGCTGGTCTGGGAGGATGGCACAAGAGGTGAGAACGCATTTGCGGGTGCAGTGCAGTGCAGATAGCTGCCAGCACCTCGGGTAGGGGTGCCAGCTGAGGGAATGTGGGTGCCAGTGCACAGCTCATGCTCACTGCCCTCCCCAGTGCATGCAGGCAGGACCGTGATGGTTACAGCAGGACCAGGGCGAGTGCTCACTGCAGCGACCGCACCACGGAGCGATAGGCTTGTACAATCTCCTCGCTGCTGGGGCAGCTGTATCTGAACTCCTTGGTTTCCCTGGCACTGTTGAGGTACCGCCACACACCCTGCAGGTCCTTGGGGATCCCAAAGCGCCGGTAGTGCTGGCACACGACCTGTGGGCAGGAACGGGGTGAACCTCTGCCCAGCACTGCATGCCTGGGGTGTGCCAAGGAGGGCCCCATGGCCAGGGGCTGGTACTGACAAGCAGGAGGGTGGCAGGGGGCCAGGGCACATCCCTGGGACTACACAGGATGACATGGAAGTGGTATGGGGGTTGGCGAGTGAACAGGGGGTTGCTGCAAGCACCAAGGGGCAGGACTGGGGAGCCAGGGAGAGGAGCAGGTGAACGGTGCTGAGGTGCCAGCACTCACCTGCACGATGTTCAGCTTGGGCAGCAGGTTGCAGTCTGCCAAGGTAAGCTGGTCCCCGTCGAGGAAGCGGCGTCGGGAGGCCCGGAGGAAGGGCTCATGGGCCAGCTCGTGCTCCAGGGGGGCACTCAGGAACTCATCCAAGTTCAGCAGGGCCCGCAGCAGGTTCCGCTGCAGTGCTGCAAAGGGGTGGCAGCATCAGGGCCCCTCAGCTGTGCTGCAACTCCTGCCCCACGCCCAGCCCTACACGTGGACCCAGCCACACCGAGCTGTGGGGAGCGACAGCGCCTGGAGCCCCAGCTGGGGCAGGGGAGGGCTGCAGTGGCTCAGGGTGACCCGATGGGGCTCTAGGGTGGTGCCACCCGAGAGGTTGCATGAGGTGTCTGTCCCCCACCCAGCGGCTCACCCTGGTCCTGGGCAGGCACTGGGTTCTTGATGTAGGTGGAGAACTTGTGGAAGATGTCATTCCCTGCCAGGCTGGACTCCCTGTACTGCGGGACCAGGCTGGGGTACCTGCCGGGACATAGGCACAACTGAGGGTGGCAGCAGGAGCCAGCAGGAGCTCATGTGCTGTCTGCTGCCCCTCCTCAGCCTGTGCTGCCCCTCTCTGGCCCCTGGACCCCTGTCAGGGCAGCAGCTGCTACTGACATGGGTGGGCCCAACTTCTCCTCCAGGAAGTCCTCGATGGTGACAGTATCAGTCTTTGGCTCGCCGTTGTAGAGTAAAACGGGCAGCTGGGCCCCCGGCGCAAAGTCCTTCAGCACGTCCAGTGCCCTGCAGGAGATGGGGACAGATCATAGAACCACAGAATGAACCAGGTTGGAAAAGCCCTTTAAGCTCATCCAGTCCAACCCTTACCCCAGCACTGCCAAGGCCACCACTGCCCCATGGCACTGAGGCCTCGTCTCCACGCTGTGTGAACACTTGCAGGGACGGTGACTGCAGCCCTGCCCTGGGCAGCCTGTTCCAATGCCTGAGCACCCTCTGGGGCAGGAATTGTTCCTCAGCTCCATCTAAACCTGCCCTGGGGCAGCTTGAGGCCGTTTCCTCTTGTCCCATCCCTTGTTCCTTGGGAGCAGAGCCCAGCCCCTCCTGGCTCCATCCTCCTGTCAGGCACTTGTAGGCAGCGATCAGGTTCCCCCTGAGCCTTCTCTTCTCCAGACTAATCTCCCCCCCCCCCCCCCCCCAGGTCCCTCAGCTGTTCCTCATGAGTTCCTAGGGCTCTGCAGGGCACCACATGTGTGTCCTGGGCAAAGGGACAAGGTGGTGCTCCCAGGCTGCATCTCCTCAGCATGTGCCTGTTGCAGCTCAGCCCTTGAAGAAGCCCACATACCTCCCTCAGACAGCGGGGGCGGGTGGATATGCACAACAGTTGCCATAGTCCAACAGTGCCCATCCTTCGCACCTTTCCCAAGGTGCTGGGGGCGTACCATGGCCCATCACTGTGCCAGGGCAAGTCTGTCCACCCTGCCTGTGACCCCAGGGCTGGCAGACCCTTGGGAGGAGGCATCACTCACCTCTTCACATCCACGGTGGTGAGGGTGAAGGGCACCCCTTTGAGCAGCAGCACCATGAAGAGCCGCTGGCAGAAGGGGCAGTGGCCCACACTCTCCCCATCCTCACTTGCCTGTGGGCAGAGGGAGAGCTCAGTGGCCCCTTTGCCCAGCATGGCTACAGGCAGCCAAGCAGCGCTGGCATCGGCTGTACTGGGCAGGGCACCAGCACCTCCCAGCTCCTGGGGCCTTGCTGCCTCACCCCATCAGCCTCCATGGCTGGTGCTGGCCCTGGCCTGCTGGGGGACATGAGGACCCCAGCCCCACAGTGCTGAGGAAGACGGGGCCTGGGGCAGCTGTGGCAGAGGAGAGCCCAGCACGGTGGGGACCGTGCTGGAGAAGGGTGATGGTGATGCCGGTGGCTCCCTTGCTCCCGGGTGTGAGCCCAGGCGGGCCCGTCCTGCCCGGTGCAGCCAGACAAACTGCCCTGGCCGGGTGGAGGCAGGAAGGGCCGGGCAGGTGCAGGGGATGCTGCAGTGGCTGGGGAGTGGGGGGGCTGGTGTGGGGGGTATCCCAGCCCAGCACCCCAGGCTGAGCACCAGAGCCCTCCCTGCCCACAGGCAGCATTATGCTGTGTCCTGGGGAAGAGCCCTGAGCTGCCCGCTGCTGTCCACGGCACTACATGAGCACTGCAGTGGGCAGAGGCAGCACAGCCAAGCCAGCCCAGCGACGCCTGAGGCCCTGCCAGAGGTGCCCACCGGCCTGGGGCACCCCAGGTCCCCCTGACCCCTCTCACCTTAACGAAGAGCTGGATTTGGGGTTTCTCCGCCATGCTGGGTGGTGGCTCCTGGCTGAGTGGTGGCGGTGCCGTGAGCGCCCAAGAGCCGTGCCTGGTCCCAGCCCACATTCCTCCCTAGGGTGCACCTGTTCCCACCCATGCCTGGCCCCACAGCACCCAGGGCCGCCCTGCCATGGGGCCCAGCCCCTGTCCTGCAAGGACAGCTCCTGCCTGTGCCCCCAGCCAGCTCCACCACCCACCCTGGAGATGCCAAGTGCTGGGTGCAGCCCTGTGTGGGGCCCAGCTCCCTTTGCCCATTGCAGGCTCCTGCCCATGCATGTGCACTGTGACCCCCCCCTCCTCAGCCCTTGCCCTCTCCAGCACTCAAGCCTGGTGCTCCTGCCCATCAGTACCCACACACTCTTGCTGGGTCGTTATTTTTTTTATTTAAAACGATCATTATTTTTCACATTTAATCTGTTTCTTTTGCTAGCAATGTACAGGCTCCTCCAAGGCATCCTCACCCCATGCCCCACATGGCACTGGCACTGTGCCTGCAGCTGGTGGCCAAGGACGTGCCAAGGGAGGCAAGACGGAGGCGAGGCCAAACTCAACCAAGCAAATAGTGTTAAGGCAGCAACCCCCCCTCCCCCTGCTCCCACCCCACCGCCACCCTCAGGGTGCCCCCAGTGGGGTTTGTGCCACCATGGCTACCCAGGTTGCATCACCATTGACCACCGAAAGCCATGGGGCATGGGGACAGTGGCACACACAGGGTGGGGGCAGCTCTGCAATGGGAGGGTTTAGGGGATGCTCCACACCCCCAGTGCCAGCACCCACCTGGAACCTGGCAGTGGGGCAGGCACAAAGCCCTGGCCAGAGCATGGCTCTACCTTGGGGTGCCACCAGTGAGGTCAGCTGGGACCCAAAGGTGACACCATCCCTTCTTGCCCTGGTGGCAAAGGGCTGACCCCAGGCTGGCTCATCCCTGGGGTGCCCCAGGGAAGGCAGCGCATGCACAGCACCCCCCCACCCCCACCCCCCCCCGCCAGCCCCTGTCCTGTATGCCGTAAAAAAAATATGGTCTGAAAAATCTGAAAATAGAGCTCATCTCCCCCCAGGTTCCCCTATTGAAAATACTGTATTTTGTATCACAATCTAGAGCAGGTGGCATACAGGACTGGAGGGGACCAGGGGCACAGGGACAATGGAGAGGCTGTCCCTGCCCCAACAGAGTGAGGCCAGCACTGGCACTAGGTGCTGCCCATGGCAGGAGCCAGCCTTGGGCCTCCTGCTGAACCCATGCCAGGAGGCAGAAGGGGCAGCCAGATCCAGGTGCTCCTGGAACAAAGAGGAACTGCTCACAGGTCCCTTGGCTGCTGCAGAACATGG